TCACTGCGGATCCAACTGTCTGCACGCTCTCGCCCGAGAGAGCACCGGGTACCTAACGATACGCACCCACTGGGACATAGTTGTAATCATATATTTTGAAAATAAGAACAGCGAAAAGCTGTGTCTTAGTTGTCAAAGAATGGAGAGCTGAAGGCTCTCAACCATTCAACTTTTAGTTAAAAAATGTTGTACAAAAAACATAAACGACCAAGGTTTACAAAAATAGAACAGTTGGAATACAACTACCACCAGAAATTTTCTCTGTCATTGCTCTTGCTCTATCTTGTTTAAGAGTCATCAGTAATGTCAATAAATCGAGCATTTCCTGGAAAGGGAAAATAAGCGCACCAATCGAGTTTTCTGCTCCAATGCACATTCCGGAACGATGAATAAATTTCCTCCAGGGTTATTCCGTGAAACATATTTACGATCTTTTCGTGACAATAGCTCTGCTCATCGCCTGAATATACATGTTTTGTAGCTTTCAGTCATTTTTTTGATTAGAAATATGATACTTTAGTAGTCCAGGATGCGGGATACAGCTCACCGTGACGAAATTGACCAAATTCAAGCAACAGAAGATGATGATAAAGATGTCATTGGTTGTATTCCGAGACTTCTATGCAACAGCCATCGAGAAATTATTGAGAACATAGTGAAATCACTACCAGACACTGTGGAAAGTGGCAAAGATGATATATTAGATGTGAGCATTTGTCTTTTTGTGACATTTATGTTTTTTTGGACTTTTTTTAAAGAACGACTTTGACCGCTACGCTCGCCTTTTGGACATTTACCAGGAACAACCGAATCTGCTTGACAGTATAATTCCAACAATTCTGAAAACGTTGGAGTCGTACATCACTCTTCCCTCCTCGAGTAAGTAAGCTTATGTGTAAGAAGCTATGGTTTTGTATATTTTGGATAATATTCAGGCAGTGCTGACAAATCGTTGAACAAGTTATCAATTAGTGCTCTTCATTATATAGCGCATCTGACTAAAGTACGTGGCTACAAAGTAATAGTCAGACTTCTTCCACACCACGTGAGTCTTTAAGCATCACTTACTTACAGGCTTTGACGGTATCAATGTAGTTTGTTACGTTTGAAGTTTTTATAGTATAATTCGTATTTCTTCATCCAACACTTAATATTTTGTGAATAATAGTTGTCGCCATTGTCAACAATGTCCTTGCACTGCCATCCTATAATTATTGAAAATCAATCTACTTCATCGTTCGTCATTGATGAACCAGACGGAGATATCAAATGTGATCCAGCATAGATGAAAGTTGAAATTCCCAACTTTTTGAGTCTCCTTCGCGCGCATTCTTTCAATATCAGAGGATGGTTTCATGGGGAGAGGGAAGGAGGGCAGGAAGAAGGAAGGGTTCTTCTCGAAATAGGCCGTCTCTAATTAAGATGAACTTCCACTCTTAATCTTCAAAATTTCATCCCTCTTCCCCCGTCCCCTTCTTTTTCTGCGTCTGCATGCAT